GGTAATATGGGAAATTCTACGTATTTTGTGATTTATTTGGTTTGATTTGAGTAATTAGTTTAAAAGTTATGAGTAATTAAAGTTTTAGAAGCAAAATTTTTATGTTAAAATGTTTTTGCTTGAAAAAATGCAAATAATTAATTTACTGAAACACTTAGTATATATTGTTATACATCATTTTGAAGCTAATTAAATTCTCTGTACAACATAGAAACAATAACTAAAAATATTAAATAGTTTAAAAGTTATAAACAATTAAAGTTTCAAAATAATTTTCTAATGTTAAAAATACTTTAATTGAAAAATTACAATTTACTACTTTACCGAAACACTCAGTATATATTATTATACATCATCTTAAAGCCAATAAAATTCTCTATAAGCAACAATAAAATTTATTTCAAAATATTTAACAGTTTAAATGTTACAAGCAATTGAAAATCGTAAAACTTTAAAACTTACTTCATGTCACGTTTTGTACACATTTCTAATTAGAAATCATGTTTTGAATGAATGAAACATTACGCAATCATGCCCAACACAAATTGACTTGAGTGTTTAGTCTAGCATACGCTTTGAATTGCCAGACAAATAGGCGACAGGGAAATTAATTAGGACATAATTAAAATTTCATCCATTCACTACGCACTTCTTTTTTCATCACTTAATTAACTTTAGTTTTGCATCAAACTCACTGAATGAAAACGTGTTTACGTAATGGTAGTGTAATGACATTTCATTACGGGCATCTATTACAAAATTTCATACATTCACAGCCATATATAAATAAATGAATAGACGTGAATGATGTGAATGACAAAATGGTTGAAAAGGCTTTGAATGATTGAAATCTGACATTTACAGCGGCGATATTTATGGTATTTATGAGTATATCTAATTTGGGCTAAATATTTTATCGTGTGTTGCAAAATATGCTTGGTTTTTATGAATGAGTTTCGGTTTATGAGAATTATTAGTGATTACAAGCGTCAAAACATTAATATTAAGTTTTTCGTGTTTGTTATTCGTTGATATTTATAAGATTGATGATCATTGCTAAATTTATTTATGATTAATAATTATTCATGTTTTGATGAAATCTATCTGGATATATCTGGTAAATATTTATGTAATTGTATGAATTATGACGGCGTGAATTGCTAATTTAAAAATTTGTGATGAAAATTTGTGATTTTTTGAGTTATATGACTTGTTTGAAACACTTAGTATATGTTTTAATATATAATCGTGAAGGTAATTAAATTCTTTATAATATGCATTTTATTTGATGAAGTTATTGTTATTAGTTTAAAAGTTATAAATAAAAAACAAAAATAAAATCAATTTTATAAAAAGGAAAAAAAGTTAATCTTCGATTTTTTTAGTTTTTTTATAATTTATCTACTATTGTAAACACTCAGTATAACTTGTTATACACCATTTTAAAGCTACTTAAATTCTCCATCAGATGTTTTTTGTTTCATAAAAGTATAATCATTAGTTTAAAAGTTATAAGCAAAAAACTAAAACTAAATAATTTTTTTACAAAATCAGAAAAAAAAAATTATTATTATTTTTAGTTTTTTTGCATTTAAATAATCTTTTGCTATACCCACTATAACTTGTAATACACCATTTGAAAGATACTTAAATTCTCTACAATCCACAACAAACAAAATTCATGTATCTCTTCTAATTCAAAAAGTTATAAGTTATAAACAATTGAAAAAGCAAATATTTATTTTTCTGATAAATTGTTTCAATTTGTTTCTAATGTTGCCGCATATGTTCCCAGTAAACAAACACATTATCCGCATTTATTACTCCGCCTGAGCCGGCCATTACGTCATTTGTCATCACTTTAATTAGTCATTTTCGTCGCGTCCTCTTCATTTCATTTCATTTCACGTTTTCGCATTTCATATGCGCATTATTTATACATCCATGTGTCTTTCCGTGTGTGTGTGTGTGTGACAAAGTAATTATTCAAATTCCAAATTCGCTACATTTACATTTACATAACATTCAACATCAAACGCCAAAAGCACAAAAAAACATCAAAAACACAAAAGCACAGAAAACTCAAAATTTAATTAAAAGCAGCAAAAAAATCTTAATAAAAATATAAAAAATTAAATTAAATATATGAATAAAATAATAAACTCGGATCAACTTCAAAGAATCAGAAACGCAAAGTGCGTATTTTTAATTCTAATTTGTTTTTATTTTTATTTATTTTGTAACTTTTGGCGCGTTTTATTTGTGTTTGACGTCAGGAGAATTATGAGCGCGAACAAAGCACTCGTTTTATTCGAAAATTATATCAAAAGAAAAACAGGAAAAGTACCCACGGACGTATTACCTACGTTTTAAAAAGTTTTCCACCTTTATCGCAGCGTGTCGCAAAGATTTGTAACCTTCTTAACGCGACATTTCACACATTTTCTTATACATTTCCTGCGTTTTCCTTATGTTTTACCTTTTTCTTTATCTTTTTAAGTGTATTTTTTGTTTTCGACGCAATTTAATCGTGGTTTCTTTGGATAAACGCAAAAGTAATTTATTTATTCTTATATAGAATTTTCTTAGCTTTAAAATGATGTATAATGTGTTATTGTAGCTTTATTTGTTAATTAACAAATCACAAAAAACAAATTGGATCGAAAGAAGATTAAATTATTTGTTGATGAAGATTTTGAGATAATTTTAATTACTTATAAATTCTAAACAAATAAAGATAATTTAATGTAGTAAACTGTATATTATAGAGAATTTAATTAGCTTTCGAATGACATATTACATGATATTCTACCATTATTTGAAAAGTAATAAATTGTAAAAAACAAACATAAACCCAAAAAATTAAATAATTTTTTATAAAAATTTTACTTTAATTTTAATTGTCCATAACTTTTAAACCAATAAATATTTTTAAATGAAATAAATATCATTTAATGAAGAATTTAATTATCTTTAAAATCATGTATAACAAAATATACCAAGTGTTTCCAATAATTCATAAATTCTAAAATAAACCAAAAATGCAAAATCCGCGAATAAAATTACAAAACACTCAATAAAACTGCAAAATACGCAAGTTTAATGCAGATAAGAATAGAATACTACTGAAACAACATTCTACTGACGCAGATATTGCGTTATCTGCGTCAAGAGAACAAAAATACTCCATCAGCAGTTGTTATAGCGCCATTATACTAAACTCACCTCTATTATACGAGTAAAAGTGTAAAGCGTGTTTATTTTTGTTTCGCACATTTCTATTGTCTAGATACGTGTTTTTTTTTATCTGTTACCTGTTGCGCGGTTGGATGACTTTCGGTGGCTGACTGACTGACTGTCTACCTGCGAGGTGCAAGCGGTGTACTCGTACTACCTGAGCACCGAAAATATAAGACAGTAAAAGTAGAATGAGTCATGGGCTAGTGGTACTAGTGGCACTAGTGCAGTTGAAGACGGTCAAAAAACTCTCGATGGTCGATGGACTCGATGCAAGCGGAAATCTCACGGTCTCTTTGTGGCTTTTTATGTGTTTCTGTTTTTATTTCTTCCTTTCTTTACAAATCGATAGGTTTTATGATTTATTTTAGTTTTTGGGAATAAATATCAAAATATTTGAGTAATAACATTAATATTTGGTATGGATATGGCTATTGTGTTTATAAACAATTGTAAAAAGTTTGAATATTGTTGCATTAAAAGTTTAGGAGATATTCAATTTTGAAGTTGAAATTTTGCATAAAAATTATGTATTGCGATTTTTGTTAGTTTTTTAGCGATAAATAATTAACTAATTGATTAAATAACTCTAAAATAAGTTGAATTAATACTATTTTGTGACTAAACAATATCCCAAATTTTCATGATAGTAGCAATAATAGTTTTCGAGATATTTGACTTTTTAATAACAAACTTAAATCCAAAGTGTAAATTGTCTCAAAATGCCGTTTATGTTTTATGATTTATTTTTGTTTTTTGTTCATAAATAACTAAATATTTGAACAGGAACTTAAATATTTGGCAAAAATATTTACAATTTACTAATTAACACCTATACTAAATTTGACTATTATCACATTAATAATTTTCGAAATATTTGATTGCAAAGTCAAAATTTTGTATAAAAATAATAAATAATGCTTTTTATTAGTTTTTTAGCAATAAACAATAAAATATTTAATTAAATTATTCAAAAAATGACACAGTATTAAATATAATATCACTTAACAATATCCCAAAATTTCATGACAATAGCAACAATACTTTCCGAGATATTCTTGTTTAAACTAGCAAAAGTAAAACCCAAAGTGTGAATGTCTCATAAAACCAACACATCCACTAAACATATCTATTGAGGATGTAATAAAATTAGATTTAGCCTTTGTACGGCGTGCAAAAAGGTGACAGTTGACACACAAATAGACAGGATACTCCTTGACGCCGAGAACAATAAGTACTGAATGGTCAGTGACAAGTATAAGTGATAATTTTAGCACTGATTCAATTCTACTCCTCAAACAAGACTTAAGTCACATTACTTAAGCCAACCAAACAAATTATTACCTTCAAATATGAAAAAAACATATTAAAAATAAATAAAATAATACTTAAGTCACTTGCGCCATGTTGCGCATTCACAGACGCGACTGTACTTAAGCTAGTTTCAAAGTTTTAACCATGGATGCACCGCATCTGTGCATCTGCTGACTGCTCCCGACTCCGACTTGACTTAAGTCACTTGATTCGGCCTGATCAGTTTCCCACAGTCAGTGGAGTCAGTGGAGATGCTGTAGCTGTAGCTGCAATCATTTAACTTAAGTAACATGAGTGTTCAAAGCTCTCAAAAGCTCTCAAACGCGAAATTTCACTCGTGTGGACTTTAATATCACATATGTGAACATTCAGTAGGCAAAAACCGATGATAGTCGAGATTACACGAGATGCTCATGACTATGGAAGGGGAGCGTTCGCAATGAGCGATTTCAGTCAGTTGCGTCGGCGCGTTCGAACCTACAACACGTCTGTATTAAAAAAACGAAAGAAAAAAACTAAAACTTCGTTTTTTAAAACCGGAAAACGGAAAAAAGTGAAACTTCTGTGATAAACTAATAATAATAATAATTACCTGATTATATACTATTTATGACTTAAGTAATATTACTTAAGTAAAGTGATTTAAGTCAAGTTGGATCTCATTGGATTACATATTACTATTACCTGCACGAGTACAATTAGTGTGCGTAGTGACTTATTGCAGTTAATTGTGTGCTAACTGTAAGTTAAGTCAAGTGCAAGTTGCGCGGAGTTAAGTACAAGTGGTTTCGCAAAGTGGCAGCTTCTTTGTGTAACCCAAGTGACCCAAGTGACCCAAGTTCCTAAGAAAGACATCATCAACCATCGGTGGTTCGATTGTGATGGGTGGCTACTAGTTACTAGCACTGCTGGGTCTAGTGAAGTGACTTAAGTCATAATGGCGAAAATGTCCGCGGCGGGACACAAAGGTTCCGGGCATAGTTTGAGCAATAGTTTTCTAGGTACGTAGACATTCATCAAAGTAGACTTAAATTTCACATGTGACTTAAGTTAAGTCACTTTGGAAAAAATTATTTCCTGAGATTATTTTGTTTTATTTTAGTGTCATTGTATTGCATTCTTGTGAGTTCTGTTATTCAGCGGTTGTTTTACTGTCTGGTGGTCTTAATTAACAGTTAATTGTTTAAATAATTCGGTTTTATAACAAATTGTGGCACGAGTCATGTTGCTCCAAGCTGATTTTTTATTTTATTTAATTTTTTGTTATTTGGCGTTCAAGATCAAAGTAATCAATGTTTTTGTTGTAAAATGACCGTGAAATATGTTTTGACGATAGATGGCGTTGGTTACAATGTACTTAAATATAAGTAAGGTTATTAATTATAATTATTAATGGCTGGCGGCGCTCACACTTGACACCAAACATGCAATTGAAATTACTCGTGTGTACGATGTCGGTTTTTTATTTAAACATTTACTGATTAACTTTTATGCATTCCGAGATAACAATAACGTAATAATAAAAGGCGCCATATTTCCGATGATTAAATTACAATTGTTATCATTATTACTTATCAGTCATCGTAATTTGTATTTTTGGATGACAAAGCAGAGTTAAGTAATATTTTGTCGCACTAGTGCGTAAAAACACTTTTTCACACTTTTATGCCCACTAGTGTGTAAAACTGTAGGAAATATGATAAAATTTACAATATTTTATATTTTGACGTTGATATTATGATGAGAAAGCAGAGTTAAGTAATATTTTGTAGCACTAGTGCGTAAAAAACACTTTTTTCACACTTTATTGCACACTAGTGCGTAAAACTGTTGGCAATATGATAAAATTTAATAAATTTAATATTTTGACGTTGATATTATGATGAGAAAGCAGAGTTAAGTAATATTTTGTACCACTAGTGCGTAAAAAACACATTTTTCACACTTTTTTGCACACTAGTGTACAAAAACAACAAAAAATCTAATAAACTCAACAATTTATTATATTTTGAGGTGATTTCAACATTGGTAATACTCAAATAACTATTTATCTCACGGCCATTTTTTATTGCTTTACACAATACCAATTAACCTAACTTTAACTTAAGTCTTATCTTAATCGATTCGGTCATGGTTGTACGAGGTGAAGACACACGAAATAAAATCACATTGAGAAATTAACAATATTGCGTAACATATTTTACTTAAGTGTGTAGTGTGTAGATAAGTTAATATGGCATGAAATAAGTGACGTACGAATAGATACGCAAGTTAAGTAAGTAGTATAATAGTACTGAAATGAGGTTATGTCAACATTTTCCGTCTCGTGCTTCAGATTCATTCATTAGATCGAAAGAAGTGTTAAATACGAGTATTCTAACATTTGTTGAGCGTGTGGAGTGTTTACTATGTTGCAAGATGGTGTCACAAACGAGTACTAGATTGATATGACTTAAGTCATGTTGTATATTTCCGGTTTATATTACATTTTTATTTGGAAATTTTGTGTGATTTTTAATTGCGTGTAACTTTTAGAGAAAAAATCGTAGAATAATGAATGAGGTATTATTTTGTTTGTTGTTAAATTGGGTTTAAGATGTGGTAATAATAATTTAGTTGTGATGAACGGTTCAATAGTTATAAACAATTTACTGAGAAAAGTCTAAATTTATTAGTTTTTTTGAGACGTAATTTTATTTGCTTGTATCTTTAAGTAAAAATGGCGAATATAAATAAATTTGATATCATTTTATTCATAATTTAACCCTCTTTAATTTGGCATATCACACAATTTGTTTAAACAATTATTTCAGAAGTTATTAACAAAATAAACCACAAAAACATTTTTCATTTCTATAAAAAACAAATCTTAACTTTAATTACCAATAAAACACAATACAAAACAATAACAAACATAAATATTTTTATTATTTGATTCTCTAATTATTCCTCTTTAATTTGACACCAAAATGAATAAGATCCAATGAGTCTGACAGAAGTTATAAGCAAATTAATGAAAATATCCATCTCTTCCTTTTTCTTTGAACTTCGCTTCGTTGATTCTTTGATTCCTGCGTTCCTAGCGCACATCTAGTGCCTTTAGTGCCTAGTATAATTATCGTGTTCGGTGTGTAATGACTGAGCACACTGTCTACCTACCTACCATCCCAGGCAAGCGGGCAGCCAGCGAAAGAATTCCAATTCCCAAGAACTCGCTCACCGAAGAAGCGAAGAGGCGCACAGGCGAAGAGCAAAGAACTCGCCTCGGCTACAACCACGACCACTTTTCTGCCTCTCCACGAAACAAAAACCATCACCATCATCACACGCTCTCATCAACTTCATTCTTGTCGACGTCAAGTCAGAAAAAATTACCCAACAGTGATTTTCTTCACTTTTTACTTTTATTTTTATTTATTTTTATTTCGTTTCTGATATGGCTCAACTCCAAAATTCTTCAGCTGGAGTCTGAAGTCTTAGACTAGCTAGTTTATCGCCTTTTTGCACTCTGTAGACTTTACTGGCTCGGCTGGATTCTTGGCAAACACTTTCCGCGCACTTCCAGCCGCCGAGCAGACATAATACAAATATGTGATGCTTATATTTCATTTAAATCTGTTATAAATTGTCTGCAAATCCGACTTCCAGCCGCAAAACACCCTCAAGCACACTCGCAAACATTCCTGGATGTAATCCCGCATTCCAGGGAGCATTCACGCATTGAGATATAAGCTTTTTTGCACTTTTATGGGGAGAAAATAGGGGAAAAGTAGCAAAAAATTATAATTTCATGAAATCTGAAGTTTAATTTGCGATAACTTTTGATTGCTTTTATCAATATTATCAAATTTAGTGTTGAATTAAAGGGAATTTAATGGAGGATAAACTTGTGTTTATTTTGTTATCTTATCATTTTTATACTATGAGATATACGCGTTTAAAATTATTATTTTTGGATTATATAATTTTTTCAATTTTGTTTTATGCTTTTTAGTAGTAAATTTGTTATAACTTTTAAATTACTAATTTGTTATTAACAAATTTAATGTCAAATTAAAGAGGATAAAATTATCAATAAAACGATACCATGCATTTTTTTCTAGCATTTTTGTACTAAAAGTTATAAACAATTAAAATTTACATTAAAAATGACTTCATCAAAAGTTAAATTTACTGTAACTATTGATTGGCTTTATCAATGTTAATAAATTTAATGCCAAATAAAAGCGAATTTAGTGGCCAATAAACCTGCGTTTACTCTGTTATCTTATCATTTTTACACTATGAGTTATACGCGTTTAAAATTAATTTTTATTGAATGACAAGTTTTCAATTTTTGCTTTATGCATTTTGTTAATAAATTGCTTATAACTTTTAAACTTATTACTTAATATTAACAAGTTTAGTATCAAATTAAAGAGAATTAAATTACGAACAAAGTGATACTACGTCTGTTTATCAATCATTTTTGTACTAAAAGTTATAAACAATCAAAATTCATATTTTGGAATTTTTACTTCACAGCGTTGTAATAATAATAAATAATAATTTTAATTAGCACGTGAAATATTTTCGCACGAAATTAACTTTATAGCCGACTGTTTATTAACTATATAATATAAAATTCAAAACGTGACTTAATAATTCCGTCTTATATTATTATATATCCAAAGTGCTAAAGCGCTAACGACGCTAAACGCGATTCAGCGATAAACTGAAATAAAGAGCGCAATCGTAATAAAATCATTCATAAAACCAGCGATTCGAAAATTTCAATAAACTCGCCAGTGCGAAACCGCATAAAATCTTTCATCGTAAAACTTAAACCAAACTAAAATTTCAGATAAATAGATAGAGAGCATCATTTAGGTTTGAGATTTTCGATTGTGATCGTTAAAACGTCTAATCCACGTGAAATCTGCATAGTTAAATATAGTGTACGTTGGATCGGATAGGTTTTAATCAGGAAATCATGCAATTAATCACGCTGTGATAATTTTTATCGCCGTACTCGACTTTCCACTTGGGTTTAAGTATTTACACGAGTAGGGAAGAATGTAGACGATTTTGAAGTGATTTTACTTGAGTAATTAAAATCGTAGAGGATTGATTAATATGTCATTAAAAGGGGAATTTAATTAACAATAAACATGCCAGAGGAAATTATTATACAGATTTTAGTTTTTGTGTTATTTACAAAAAAGCAAAATATTTTATATTTTTTAAAGTTTGATTTTAATTGCGTTTGGAATAAGGTTATGTAAAAGGTACAGCGCCATCTATAACATATCTTATACTCCAATTAATTCTCTTTAAAATGATGTATCATACGTTATGATATCTTTTCCAGTTTAAAAGTTATTGCAAAAAACGGAAAAAATGTCATAAAAAAATCTTGGTTTTCCACTTGATTTAAAGTATTTAGACAAGTGCAGAAGAATATAGACGATTTTGAAGTGATTTTACTTAGGTAATTAAAATCGTAGAGTATTGATTAATATGTCATTGTAAAGGGAATTTAATTGAAAATAAACATACCAAATAAAATATTTGGGTGATTTTTCGTTTTTGAGTTATTTAAACAAAACTAAAATATTTCATATTTTGGAAGGGTATTTTTCAATTGCGTTTAAAGTAAGATTATGTTTAAGCTGCAACGCCATCTATAACACTACTTATACTCTAATTAATGCTCTTTAAAATGACGTATCGTGCATTTTGATATCTTTTATAGTTCAAAAGTTATTGCAAAAAAAGTAAAAATTGTCATAAAATTTCATCGTTTCCACTTAAAGTATAAAAAATAATAACCCCGAAAATTAAGTAAATTACTGGGTAATATAAGTAATCGACAGTCTGCGGGCATAAAAATTTCACTTTCAAAAGATTGCGAACAGGTAAACCTTGACGTGATGCAATTTTCAGCCACAAACCGGAATTTATTCATTATTCATCGATTTAAAAAACAAACATTTAACAAAAAAAACCTCTCAGAAAACCA